AAAAAAAAAAAAAAAAGAAAAAGAAAAAGAAAAATAAGCTGACAAAGAAGGACAAATCCTGTGTGATTCCACTTACATGAGGTCCCCAGAATCATCCAACTCAGAGAAAGAGAGTGGCAGGGCAGGGTGTGTGTAAGTGTTTCTTGGGGATGGAGTTCTATTTGGGAAGATGAACAAGTCCTGGAGATGGAGGTGGGGAGGCTACACTACAGCATGAAACGTGTTCAATGTCATTGAGATATATGCTTCAAAAGGGTTAAAATGATAAACTGTATGTGTGTTATTTTACACAATAAAAAAGCTGGTATTTCTGTAGGAATTAAAAGAATACACAAGAAGGAAAGACTTAATCTTTGTTGTATATCTCTCTCTAGCACTTGAACTTTTATTTATTTAAAAAATTTTAATATTGAAGCATCTAGACTTTTCAATCACATGTATGTATTTGCATTTGTAAGAGCAAAATTAAACTGGTAGTGCCTCTCTCTAAGGCAGATACACTGTAGGATGACAGCAAAGTACTGCCAGTTTGGAGCCGGGCCTTCTCAACAGTGTCCCCATGCTGCCCTGCTGCATCTGCTCAGGTGGGTCAAGGGGTGCCATCAATACTCACTGGGCCAACCCTCTCTGTCCCTCACCCTGGGAATGAGGGAACCAACCCTCCAGACACTAAAATTCTACACCTGTGCAGAGGGGTCTGACGACCAGCATCTGAGCAGAGTGCAGGCAGAATGGTGGGCAAGCTCAGGGTAACCTATCTCCAGAAGCTGCTTTAGGCTGAAAATATTTTTTCAGTGTGCATCTCATTTATGACAATTGCCAATTTAAGAATTTCTGTTTCAAAGCAATTAAAGACATCTATCACCATCTGCTACCACCATTACATTTCTGCTGAAATAGTTCAGGAGCTACCTTTCCCACTAGACAGATAGCCAGGAAGACTGACCAGTGACTTAAGAAAGAAGCATAAACGCTCATTTCTATTTGTTACCAATTCAAAACACAGGCTTGAGAACAAGAAAGGTGGGAAATGCCACATATAAACAGGATAAAAGTAAAGCTGCAGCCTATCTTGTGTTTATAAGTAATTCCAGTAACTGTGACAAGGCAGTACAGCAGATTGGGAAAACCTAGATTAATGATAAATGATTCTGGCTGTGACTGAGTTTTTATTAGGAAATATAGATGATACCATATAACATCCTTGGTTAAAATGCCTATATATGCAGATGTCTTTTGATACATCCCTTATTCACTGCACACATGGCATCAAAACTGTCCAGGAAATGGAGGGGCCCTGCACTCTCCCACAGCAGCAGCCCCCGTGCAGCTGCTGCCACAAAGGTAAGGTTGTTCATGTGCTGTCTCCCCTACTAGGTCAGAAGCAGGCCCCTCTGCTATCCAACAGTGTCAGCGACTGGTTTTAGCTGCTCCGTGTTTCATCCCCTCTTGGGCAGAGGTCTTTCTGAAGCTAGGGACAGCTGGTAGGGCCTTGCTGTACACCTTTGTGGCTGCCATACCTGGTGCAGTAAGCTCCTGCCAGGCAGGCCCTGTGGAAGCACTGTGGCTGGGTGGTGATTCTTGGCCAGTGAGAGGACAGGGCCATGGGCAGCTTTCAGAGCTGGGGCTCAGGTAGGAGCTGGGATCCCAGGGTGAGGGCAGCAGAAATGGGTGCACACATGCCACCCAGCTTGGCAAGATTCCAGACGTGACCCTCCTGCTTGCCAGTCTGATCCAGCAATTATTTTGAGGCCTCCTGCCAGAACTGAGAGAATCTGAGACAAATTCCTGAGGCAAGAAAGTGGACTTGGCCTTCAATGGCACATCAGGAACCAAAGTGCCACTCTCACTAGCAGCAGACCCAGCAGTGATGTGCAGTGAGGGTCAGCTCTGAACAACAGCCCTCCACTCTTAGAAATGTCAGCATAATCAAAAAAGCGCAGGCCTGTTCTACATTACGGCGAGAAGGCAGTTACAAAAGGCATTTTGGGGACACTGAGTGAAACACATGGGCAGTCCCAGCAGCCTCCATCTGAAGGGAGGGAACAGGTGGGGCGCCAGGCCTGCTCACTCGGCTTGGGAAGGAGATGAGGACTGGTTCTCTCCTTAAAGTGGATGATGGTGGCTGTATCTTACTTTTCCATTTAACTAAGGACCTGAGTGAATCTGTGCCCTTAGGGCCGCTGCTCTGAAGCCGCGGTGCCCCAGCGCCTTTCCCCAGATCTGGTGCATGGCCTTCACTGGGTCCTATGAGGGCAGCCACAAGGCGAGGATCTCCACCCAGAGCCCAGGGGTCCTTTCACGTGTCTGAAGCTGTACACAGTCCTGGGGGGCATGTGCCTTTCTTGGGTATTTTTGTCCAGAGTCTTGCTGCTACACAGCAAGAGCATGCAGCCCCATGTAGGAGAAGAGTGAGCCTGCAACCAGCCTCCATAGAGGTGGGAGGCCTAGTGGCCAGGGATGCAGACATGTACCCTTACCAACCATGCCTCCTGTAGGATGCTGATGAGGGCTTTGACTCACCTCTATGTTGAAAGTGTTCTCCTCAACTTTTCCTACTTCTGCTTCTGGCTGAGGATTTTTTAAGGTTTGTAAAAACAGGGCTGCTTTCCTTTTACGTTCTGCTTGCAGTTGCCTCTCCTTGGACTCCTTAGACGCCTGGGCCAGCTTTTCCCTGGCAGCGGCAGCGAGTCGGTCCTCCAGCTTTTGCTTTGCTTGAGGAACAAAGGAAATGGTGGAATTGAGAGCAAAGCAGTATTATACAAGTACCCAGCAATCTTAATTCGCACATGTGGTAAAAGGGTCACAAAATGCAATGCAGTTATTCTGAAAGATGAGTATGATACAAATTTTAGGATAGGTAACAATTGGGCAAATCGAATTTGAGAGAATTAGTTTATAATGCTTATTATTAGTATTTTTATACTTCACTTTCAAAACTAAAGTCAGAATGTGGACAGGATTCCATCCCAGTGAAAGCTGGGATAATGATAACCTCAGAGGAACTCTCATAAATGTATCTAAAATGTTCATAGCAGGTGATGAACACTTGAGGGAAAATGTTTTCCAAACGATCGGACACGTTTAGTTTACACACAGTAAGTGATGATTTAGATACACTTGCAGGAACACAGGTTTGTTTAGGGAGAGCAACTGCAGCACAATGCAAGCTCTTGATAGTAAGGCATCCTGTGGTTAAAAAATTACCTTTTATAAATGTTGCTTGATCTGTTTATATATATACAGAAAAAGCAATTTACAAAAACTAGTTAGAGTAGATAAAAACTGCAAATGCAATCACTAATTAATTACTTTAGTGCAGAACAGAATTTATTTTGGAGGAGGGGTAGATGACTGCAAGACGCTTCCCACAAACGCTGTGGGGCATGTGTCAGAGGTAAGCGATGGCCACGCTGTGACCCATGAAGATGAGGTGTCTAGAAATACACTGGGCCTGCATCACCTTCAAGGGTCCGATGGTTCTGCTGGGAGACGGTCTCACGAAAGACATCTGCCAGTTTGGTACATTAATCTGAGCTGGGAACACAGGCAGAGCACTGCCCCGAGGCTGCCACCAAAGCATTAAGGCCCCTCCATTCAAGCTGATCTCAGATAACTTGTCTCTCTGAAAATGACTGCCAACAGCATCGCATCTGATGCTTATTAACAAAGACAGTGCTCAGTATGCTAATGGAGATCTCAAATGTGCAAAAACATGCAAACCATCACACAACTCCCAAATGGCTCTAATTTCCAAAGGCTGGAGCTTCTAGTTGGCGGACTCAGTATTTTTGACTTAGTCGGTTAATCTTGTATTTATGCACTTTTTCTTTCAAGAAGTTTAAAACATTGACAAACCTTGCTTTGCTTCTAGCTCCTCCTGGGTAAGTTGAGGCCGCTTCTCCTCAACAACTACACAGGGTGGGGCAACTGCCGGGTTAGTGTTTGTAGCACTACTAGAACTTTCTTGACCTTCTTTGCTTTCTTCATCATCATCACTGTCATCATCTAGCTTAACACGATTTTTTTCCAGGGGAAGTAGATCATTTTCTTTGGCCTTGATTGCAAAGCTTATTGGAGCAAATGAAGCTATTGAGAAAAGGTGAAAATGGTAATACATTTTTAGGTAACTTGAAGCACAGAGTAGAAATCCTCATTGGCCCCATGATCCACATAACATCACCTGGTGGGTGTCACGTCTCCAGTGGAGCCACATCCTATGCCAGAGGGTGCTTCTCAGGGCAGTGTACTAACAGCCAGGTATATCAAGGGGGCTATTTAAATGCACACTGCATGCAGTGGGGCCACGTGCAAGCCAATCCTGAAAGAGGCAGGTGCATGGAGCTGGTTCCACTTCAGCCACATCACTGCATCTGTAAACAGTCAATTGTTGGCGCCTCCCATCTTTATCTGGGCTCAGCATATAGCTGACTTCATGTGAGTTAGGTAGGCATATGATGTGACTCCACTATCAAAACCTATTTCTAAAAAATTCCAACTATATAAAGTAGCCTTTTCTTTACAAAGCAAGTTACAGAACCCCTTCCTTTACTCAGTAAACACCAATGGGGTACCTACTTTGTGCTGGGCATCATTACACCAGTAAGAAAATTTTAAACCTAGTATAACAAAAATTTAGGTGGTTTGCCTTTTCTCCTCTAGAATTGTTTGGAAATTTTAATTTATAAGAGAAATACAAAGGCCCAAAAGGAAACAATCTTCTTCCCCGTCCCCCATCCACTCAATGCCCACTCACCGAGTCCCTCCCTCCTTCAGACACTGTGAACAGCTCTGAACAACACTGACTGGTTATAATACGAAACTTTATTACATAAACCGTGAGTTATTATTTATGAAGGATGTTCACGTGAACCATGAGGAAGAGAAATATTAAGAGCAGTGTAGACCAGCTAACACTGAGAGGAGATGGGTTCTGGGTCAACAATGGCAGGGTCTAGAATGGGTTGTGACTCTCAATGACTCCATCTGTGGGCGGGTTGCCAGCTGGCCCCTGAGTCTCCCCCACTTTACAGTTCCAAACCCAGCATGACTGGAAGAACAGACTACCCCAAGTTTTGGAAATATGACAACCTCTTGTCAGTGAGCATCACTGCAGAGCACACCTCAGATGGTAACTGTCGGCAAGCTACGCTACATAAGTCAAAATGAAAAAAGGAGCAAAATTTGTCTTTGTTTTGACTGTACAACATCCCGTGTTTGTGCTGTGCACTGGTTCATGCAGCCCCTAAAACAAAGATATCACACTGGGCATTGAACTGCGTTTTGTGAGGAGAATGAACATCAACCATTTTAGTATGGTTATGTCAAAATAGTCCTTATCTTTTGGAGATACATGCTATGACATCTTGGATAAAATGCTGTGATGTTGGGGATTTGCTTCAAAATACTCTGGGGGTGAATTGGAAGGTCAGTCCTGGGGGTAATGGTGAGAGCTGGGTGCTGAGCACTTCTGGGGTGGGCTGTGTGCATTATGCCACACTGTTTTTGTACTTGTTTGAAATTTTTTGTAAGGAAAAGAAGGGTTAACATTAATCCTTTATTGCCTATAGTAACATAGCCTCTTTAATAAACATAGAGTCAAGGTAACTTTGAGAGAAAATGTCACTTAAGTGTTAATAAAATTTACTCAAGTTAACTTGGGACTAACCATAATAGCACAAAATAATTTCAAAACAATTATTCCCAAACCATTTCTTCCTCTGGATTAGTAAAGTAAGTCAGCAACAAACATTACAAGCAAAGCTTCTGGAACACTTTCTGTCTTAGGCAAAACCCTAAGTACCCACAAGGAAAAGCTGGCATTTTACGCATGCCAGATGCAATGCCAAACAGCACTGCTACCCCACAGTCCTTCAGAGTGACCTGACGAAAGAACTAATGTGCAGTCTACAGGCATCACCTCCCTCTGCTCTGTGAGGAAGCCCTTTTAGGCTCCCCACCCACAGGCGAGAAAAATGAAGCTGAAAGGTCAAGTAATTTCCGAAGGTAGCTCAGCCAGCAAGCGGGGGTTACCAATCGACTCCTTTGTACATCTCTTCCACTACACATGTGCTGCTTCTATCCAGGACCTTACTTGCAAATCAAATGGCTGCACAGGAAGAGCACTTCCTATGGCCTTCAGGCTCCCTGCTGCACCGAGGATAAAAGCCAGCTGGTGCGGGCCCCTTCACTCACGCCTGGCTCTTTTCTTCTTCCAGTCTCAGCTCTGTGGTGCCTCCTGGCTTTCACATGCTGCATCCTGTGCTCATGATTTGGCCAATCTGCTGGCAGGGAGCCTGAAGATGGCAGGCCTGCTGACGTGGCTGACGTGAGCACCAAGGCAGCTCAGTTAGCCAGGCAGCAGTTCTCCATCGTCCACAGCAGATATGCTTCCATTTTTAAGGTTACACATTCTATTACTAACTTCAAACCTTAAAAGTATATATTCTCTATGGAAATCTTAAAAACATAAGTGAACAAAATGAAAGATCAAGTACAATTCAGGTATGGGAAAAAGCACCTGAATACAACCGGCAGACAGTTCCTAGGCATGTAGGTAAGCACACGCACACCAGCACGGAAATGGGTTGTACCGGACAGTTGCCCCACCTGCTGTTCTCACTAATAATATCTTTCTATATAAACAGTGTACATATGCTTTCCATGTCAACATAGGTCACTTTAAAAAACAGCAATAGTGTTTTAGTACAGAGATGACTATTTATTTCAGTCTCCCGCAACTGTTCCCAGTTTTTTATTTTTAAAAGCTAACAAGGCCCACGATGAATACCTGGTGGGTCACCCTGGTGAGCAGCAGTTTCAGGAGTAAGAGGATGTCTACAGTTGGAATGTGGTCCATGTCGTTGGGCTGTCTCTTCTAGAGGCTGCACCAATTCACACTCCAGATGTGATAGTCCCTGCTACCCCAGGCCTCTCCTTCCCTGAATATTATTTTTTAACTACCAATTTGAGAGGCAAAAAACAGTATCTTGCTAATGAGGACACACTTGAATATTATTTACTGACCATCTAATTTGCTTCTTTTGTGAACTATCTTTTCATGTTCTTTGTCCATTTTTCTACTACAGTGATTGCCTTTTCTTGATTTATAAGAGCTCTTTCTATAGTAAGGATATTAGCCCTTTATCATATGTGAGCAATCACCATATTTTGACTTTAAACATATTCGTCTTTAAACTTAATTTAGGTCCTCCCCCTATTAATCTTTCCTTAGGATTTATGACTTCTATTTTTAGAAAGCCCTTTCCAAGTCCAGGAATATAAAAAAGTTACCTTTATTTTCTTCTACTTTTATGGTTTTATTTTTTTAATGTTTAAATACTTATTCTATCTGGAATTGTAATTATTATGATATGTGATACAGAAGTCTTAGTTCCAAAGTGGAGAGAGCCTGTTTTTCTACCATCAATTATTATTATACTAAAAAAGTTTTATCAAAAACATAGCAGATGTTGATGGCTTTTCAGCATTTACTGATATAGAAACATGAAAAACCTTCTGACTGTTAATATGATAAACTGTAATAAAGATGTCTGGTGGGATGCTGTGCTGGGAATCCTCAAGGAAACTCCACCTGCTCCTGCCTGCTAACCCAGCCACTCCTGGCTGTCTTCAATGTGAGGGGGGAACGTCTACTCAGTAGTTGTGGTCTACAGGTTGCTAAACTTCATGGGTGTGGGAATGAGTGAGAGCCATGATTTCCCATCTTTGTGCTTGGGGTGGCTTTACTGCCTCGAACTTTTCTCTTTTTAGAGATATTTCACTGCCAATGTTTTCTAAATTCTCTCAGGCCTATAAATCTGTCATTTTCCTACCTCTTCTTTAGGTAATTTTAGCAACTTGTATTTTCTTAGTGCTTTATTTTCAAAGTCATTCAAATTTAGTTATATATCATTCATGTGTTTTAAAAAATCTGTGATTTTTTTCCATTCATTATGCTGTGTATTTGCATTTGCTTTTTTCTATATTATAAACTTGCACAGTGGTGATACGTTTTCCCAGGTTTTAAAAAATTATTTTCTCACTCATGTCTGCTTTGTTACTGATTCCCCCTTTTTTGCCTTTGCTTAGGTGCATTTTTTCCCTAGCCTCTTGAGCTGAATGTATGCTTTTTTCAATCGGTTGTTATTCAATCCAGTGGGGCTGAGCTGCAGGCAGCAGCCTGGCTAAGGGGCAGGCCCACTGCCCTTGGACGCTCCTGGCCTTCCGCCCCCCGATTGGCAGTAGGCTGCCATGGGTCACTGCTCCTGAGTCCAAAAGTGTCCTCTCTTCCCGAGCAACTAAATTTGAGGTGGGCTGGCTTATCCTTCTGAATCATGGACAGGACTCTCCTGTTTCTGGAGCAATAATCACTTTTATTCTCTACTTATTACATCCCTTTGGTTATTTCAATGAGAGTTCGAAGGTGGCCAAGAGGGTGAGAGATAAAACATGTGTGTTTGGCTAACCTCCTGGAATGAGAGGCTCAAAGATACTTCTATGCTTTTCTAAATCACTAAATTTACCTAGTCATTCACTCATCTGGGTCAATCTAGTTACTGTTGACCACCACCCTATCAAAAAAGGCATCTCTCAGCAAAGCAAAGGCCTTGCTTGCCTCCTGAGCCCACCTCTTTCCATCATGTGTCTGATCTGCCCTTCCTCTTGATTCGGGCTGGCTCCTTCACTTCCATTACAGTGCTTCTGGCCATCAGTTCCACCAAAAACCTCCAAAGTGGCTTCTCTGCCCCAGTATCTCCATAAAGTCACCCAACTGGATGAAGTCATTCCTGTGATCTAAAGCCCAGATGGCATGCCACCATTGTCTGGAGCCCCAGGACCTCTGTGGGCCCCACAAGCTGGCCAGAGCTGCCCTCCCAGGCAGGGCATCCCCTCCAGCCACGTCCCACCTCTGACTGCATGGCCTCTGCAGGGACAGCCCTCCTCTGGCCAAGGAAACTTGAATGCCTGTCCTCTCAGGGCCTTTCCTGCCCTACCCAGCAGAACACAGTTTCTTCACACCCTCTACCTACGGTTCTTCTTAATATGCCTGCCTCAGCCTTTTTTCTTTGTTTTTTATTATGTTGGCTCTTTCTGTGTATGTCTGTCCTCGTGGATAAAAACTCCTTCCGAGAAGGTAAAAGGTTAACAAAATGGAGGGAGTGGAGCTCTGCCTGATGGAGAGCCTCCAGGTACTTGCTTTAACAAAGAAAGAAAACTAAGTTGACTGAGGAAACTGTATCAGATATAGTTTCAGAAGTCCAGGGCAGTAGGTAAGAAACATTTGAAACATTCTAAACATTGCTAGAGCAGACTGTTAAACAAATGTACACCTATATGTAGATACATATTCCCATACATAGGGGAGCTTATATCCAAATGACCCCAAAAGCACTACTAAGTAGGCAAATTTTATCACAGCAACCCAGAAAAAGTGGCCAACTCCCTCCTCTCCTACAGTAGAGTCCCTAACCCCAAGTAACCAGAAATCTTTCTTGCTCATTTAAAGCAGCATCTGGAAGGTCATGACCGGGTTTCCAGGCAGTGGTGGAGTGTACCTTTCACGAGCTTCCCGTCCAGGACAACTTTGCTGGATGGCACCTCCTTCTTCCCCACTGAGCTGCCTCTTCCTCCCACGTCAGCTGGGTCTTCAGACATATCATCCTCCCCTACATCACTGGGCTTTTCAGGAACAGATTCTGTAGGAGCCTCTTCTGGTGCTGACGCAGCCTATGGAGATTGAACATGGCTATAAACTGTCCCATATGAAATCACATAGGATTTGTCAAAAAGCATATATATGTGTATATATATTTCATTAGGCAACAGCATCTCCATATTACTGCTGAAGTAACACTAAGGAACATACTTTTGATCGAGAGTACTATTAGTATACCAAATTATGCCAGTGCCTACAGCTGAGTCAATTTTCTTCATTTTGAGCAGAGGTAAATTCTGAAGATGTGAACTCACAAGCAAGGCCTACATCATCTCTCTAACAAAATGCAGAGAAAAAATGTCAGGGTGTCCACAAAGCTGAAGAGAGCAGAGGCAGAAGGAAGCATTACAAGGACAGGAAGAAATGATTCCAGTGGGTAAGAACCACATGTGGGGCCGTTTGCTGGGAGGGTGGGCATGAGGCAGCTGGGGCAGGCAGTGCTCTGGGATAATGGATGCCCACCACTGATAGCTCCCATGCAGCACGAGCATCCACAGTGAGCACACGTGTTTACACACCTAAGTCTATGTTAACACAGCACAAGCACAGTCTGCAATTCCAACCATCAGCAGTAGTTAAGAATAACAGCCAACCACAACATCAAATGCTTGAAGAAATGCAATTGTGTTGTTTACAACATTCTGGGCAAGGATCATCAATGAACTATGGATATGGGTCAAAAGTTTTCAACAGATCTAAACCAGTTTCAACTCTGAGGTAGGAAAAGTTAAAGACAGCATCTACTAGGTATACATTACACAGAAAAACAAGTGTATGACAAGCCATCCTGAAAATAAACAGATTATTTCCATATCTGTTAAATCAGTTACCAAAAAACCGCCTCCCAGCCTCCCCTGCCTTTACAGATACGCACCTGTGTGCTCTCACCCCCTTCCTTCTGGAGGAAGAACTGCTTCTTAAACTCATAGTAGGCATTATACTGGTGCCAAGGCTGGAGGAACTCAAACCTATGAACAGAAAAGGCAGAAAGTCATTCAACTAGACTCGCATGCTGCCAGGTAAAGCTGAGCTCTTGCCGACCATGCAATGTGTGAGCAGGACACTCTTCTAAACACTTCACAGGGATTGACTCAAACTCGACAGCTTTACCAGCAGCTGTGCTATGCTACCCTCTACAGACAAGAGAGGCTGAAGCTGGGAGTCTGTGGCTGGTCCACAAACAGATTACACTGTAACTGCAACCTCATGCCTGATGTCTTACTGCCAAAGGCATGGAACATTATTTGATTAAAATACAAACCCAAAATGTATGTCTAAGTTTCCTTAGCCAATTCTTGAAAAGCATGAATTCCAGCCTTTTATTTTATGTGGCTTCAACATTCTTATTTAAAAAACAAAACAAATATTTAAAAAAACTCTATGTAATTTAACAAGATAATTATAAGATATATTTATTGAAACATGTAAGAATTAAACACATTTAAAAAAGGAATTACGTGGCTAGCTTAAAAAGAAAGAAGTTGATCGAAGCCCCAAGAACCACCTATCTAGCAAGACAGCATCCTTCACCTCACCTTTGATCATTCTTGGCACGAACGCTGGTCTCAAATTTAAGGCCGTTCCTAGCCACGTATTCTGCCAGCTTGTCAATCACGGGCTGAATGTCTGGGGGTGGGGGGATGATGGCAGCCACGGGAGCAAGTGCACTGCAGAGAAGAGTTCCGTCACTCACACGTGAGAGGACCCGGGTCCCCAGGGGGTGGGTCAGCTTGGTACATCACTGCACGGGGACCATCATCATCTCAGTTCACACCAAAGCACCCACCACAAAGAGCATATGGGGGGCCCTTTACCTGAGGGCAACGTTCCCAGAACATAGTGACAGTTGATCCACTTAAAACAGGGATCAAAGTATCAGAGCCGATGGTGAAAATGGGGGTTTTGTTGAAAATGAGGCTTAAAGCCATGAAAATAGGCTGGCTTTTTCTCCCACCATTTCTAACTACAAGCTGATTCTTAGGAGCAACCTAGAGTAAGTATTGACTTTTACATTTTTAAAAAAGAATACTGGCTAGCATGATTCACCACCCTTCATTTCACATTTAACTTTCTTAGCATGATCAGAAAGTGGGTGTGGATAAAACGCTGTGGCCAGGATTCTCACCCAGCCCTGGTTGGCTAGCTCACTACACAAGTGTGGGCAAAACGTTGTTATTGACTCTATATAAAGAGCCCTGCCCAGTGCTCTGGGCTACATGGTAGCACAGCTGCAAGGCTGCAGGAGAGCAGAGCAGAGGCTGGAGTGGTGGCAGCGCTGAGGACACAGGCCCAGAGGATGGCTGTGCGGGCCAAGAAGCCCAGAGGACAAGACCGGCTTGCTGCATGCAGATTTGCTCTGAGTGAACAGGATTTTAGTGATTGACCTGCCACCTGTGGAAATAAAGTTGGGTATAACCCTTTCACCCCAAGAACGTTCTACTGTCATTTCTTTGGTCACACTGAATCCATAGTGAACTTGCCTGGGGCTGAAACCCATCGGCAAGACATGGGTCATTTTTCAGAAATACCCAAGTGTTTTGTCAGATTCCCAAAAAGTCTATTTGTAACCTGAGATGTCATAGTACCCCTCAGTGTGCCTCTGGTGTGCCCACCGGCCCTGACACTGGGTCCTGCTCACCCTGACTGCCCATCACATGCCACCCAGACAGGTGCTACAGTCCATTCTCTGCTTGCTGTCTCTTTTATTCAATGGGTGGCTGCTCTGATGGACAGACCCTCATTTGCCAACGGCTTGTGAGTCACTTCGATCAATTTTATGAAATCCTACTTTTCTTGCAAACTGTGGCTTCACTTCACATGATCTGCCTAGAACTGCCCAACTGAGATGCCCTCCATCAGAAAGAGATGCAGGGGCCCAGGGGGTGGTGTAGGATGCTCACCAGGAACTACTTTTCTCAGTGGATATACCTCAATGCTAAAAGTGTCCATGTCACAACAATTTCTGTTGCCCTATAAATTCTAACTTGGAGGTTTAGTAATAAATACTCAGACAATGGAGACCTTCAATGTAACTCAGAGGATGAAGGTCCCCACCCCAGAACAGGGAATTGCAGGACTGAGAGTATACCTTGTGGTGATGGTGGTGGAGGTCACTCCGCTACTTGACTCTGCTGTGCTTGGGGGTGGTGGTGGTGTGGTCCCGGGAGGTGGTGGGGCACTGGCTGTCACTCCAGTGGAGCTGGACACGGCCACTCCAGCAGGCAGGGTGCTGTAGTAAGTGGCAACATCAACCCCTGGTGGGGGAGGAGCCAGGCAGTAGGTGCCGTCGGGTAGCATGTAGTAGCTGTAATACATGGCTGCCACTGTCGCTGTGGAGACACGTTTTGGGGAGTGAGAGTGGCAAATGACAGGTTCTCCTGGTGAAAGCCTGAGATGCAATGAGAAGGGACACCTTCCAAGTGCAATGTTGCTTCTGCCCAATTTCAACTGCACTGTTTTCTAGTTTCTCTGATACAAGAAAGGCTGCCTGTGTGATTATCAGTTTGGAAAAACCAGGTAATGTTCAGACACACACCTAGGGACAATGGACAGTGAACATGGACCTTCTAGACAAGCTGATGGTTCCCCTAACCTCAGAACATGCAGATTAGGAGAAAGATAGCTCACCCTTTCCCACGGAGCCCCCAAGATGCCAGTGTTGAGGAAAGCATGTACATGAGTCTCACTGGTTTCCCATCTGATATCACCTCCCTATCCTCTAGGTCTCTTACTTTGATTATCTTGGAAATCATCTGTGGGGAAAACAGAAGTTCCTATGGCCAGGATCCTCATCTGAACCTAAACTACCTGATGATGTAACTGACCCACTGCTAGACTACTGCTTCCACACCCGTAGGCAATAAGCTATTACTGACTGAGTCACTATAAAGATCTCTGCCCAGTGCTCTGGGTGGAGGCAGAGATGAAGGAGGTTTATAGCATAATTCTAGTGCTCAACCTATCACCGGGAGAACAAGCTGGGTAATAAACCCTCTTACCCCAAGAATGTTCCATTGTCGTTCTTTGGTCTCACTGAAACCATAGTGAACTTGCCCAGGGCTGAAACCCATTGGCAGGACATCACCCCCTCTGTAAAACTGAGCTGCACTTTGTAACTACTGCATGCTTCCACCCCCAAGACATGGATGCACTGTAATTTATTTAAGAAGGACTGATGGACACTGAGGTTGTTTAGGGGCTTTGCTGCTATAAACAGTGACGTACAGAAGCTTCCGATATATTTTTGGGCACATGTGCAAATACCTGTAGATTGGCAGCTCACTGTTTCAGGAATTAGGAGTCTTGTAAGTCTACTCATCTTTCTTTGCGGGGGGAGTATTCAAAACCAGGCACATCACAGAAAATTCAATGATCTAGTTAAGAATTTTAATTTCTAATCCTGTTGCAGATAAACTAGTTCTGACTACACAGATTTAATTTCCTTTTCATCAAATGATGGTGAGATTTTTCTAATTAGAGAATTTTGATTTTCAAACAGTTCCCTTTAAAACAAAAACATTTACAAACAGTAAAAAATGTACATTGACCATGGTCTCCAGTAATGTACACTCACAGGGGAAAATATCAGCATTTAGCAATTCAAAATTTCTCAGTAATGGCCACATCACAGCTTTTCCCTCTTAGGTTAAAATGACTGCATAATTCATGTGCTGCAGGCATATTCACAGCTGTTAGCTTGCTTTTTATTAATTATACATGTGTGTCTCCCAAGTTGTTGCCCTCCAGCTCCAGCAACACTGTTATACACTAACAACAATATTCCGAAATTTCGAAATAAGACATGTAGGCCCAATGTTCTCACCACACGATCTTCAGCACAGAAACATTCAAATCACATCTCTGAAGGAAGGCAGGGCCCAGACAAGGCCATCAAATGCAAGTGTGGGAGGGGGCGTGAACCGCAGGAAAGGCTGGTGGATTTGCCACCCAGCCCTCAGCACACACTCGTTGGCTAGACAAACAGATGGGGTGGTTCCAGCGTTAGCTCCTCCCAACCAAATCAGGCTTTCATACGTAGGCAATGCTTCTGGGATACAGCATTATCCTTGGAAGAATGGAATTACTATTCCTACCCACCCCACTCAGATGACCCAGCTCCTTCCTCTCACTGCCTGGGTAGCGCTATTGCTGCAGAGGAAATGAGGAAATGCCCTGGTCTCCAGTGTAACCCCAACCTCCCACACCCCAGTGCAACCCCGTGTCCCCAGAGAGGGGATGGCAAGCCTGCTACTACCTAGTCCAAAGTGTCACACTTTAATAGGACAGACACAACATGCCCCGTCCTGGACAGGCAGCCTCTTGCCTAAAAACAAGTAGTAGTACACTTAAAATCAAAGCCGTAACAAATGGGCCAGAGAATTCATAAAACCCAGCCTGCAATTATGTTTTAATTGACAGTATATGTTATGCAGTTGCAACTTAATGTGTTTTTTATGTAACAGAAGTGAATGAATTATTTTCCAAATTAATGCCACTCCTCTGAAAGTACTAGTGTGCAGATTATTCATCAGCCTATATGACTTTCCTGCGCTACCCATCACGTTAAATTAAAATGAAGCATTAAAAACAGCAGTGCCAGCCAGAAGGCAGGTTTAACTCAGGAATACACCCACTACAAACTTCTGAAAATGTTGGCTAAAATACCATTTAAAATCTAAAAGCAAAGCTGAGCTCACAAGAGGAAAGGCTCTATTTCCTGGTGTGAAAAATGAAACCAACCCCCAAGCCCAAAAGCATCTCCTAAACCTTCAACCTACCTTACCTGGGGCATGGGGACTCCTCTGCTAAAAAGTAGGTGCGGGTGGTGAGCCTGGGGTCACCCAGGACCCACTGTGGGGAGGCCCACAGGAAAGAAATGCCACACACGACCTAAAGTAAACATGTGCAGGACCTCTCCACTTCTCACCCACACACCCTGGGAGCCTCACCAACAGAAGTGTAATTACGTTGTGCAGAGGTGAACAGGACCTCAGGGGCATCCAGCTGCAGCGACGACCAGCTGAACCAGAACCACATGAGCTCTTCTTTGCTGGATCTTTGCATGGGCTGCCAGGGGTGAACAGATCTAGGGAGAAGGTTGTCTCTGGCCTTCTCCCCACAGACACTGGCCTGGCGGGATGTGGCAGTGACAGGGCAAACTGCAGTTGAGACCCACACCTTGCCGGTCACAGCACTGTGGCCCTGGGCCTCTGGGTCCCACAGTGACCAGCACCACACTCTCTTTCTCTGTGCAGTGTCTCTACCTGCCCTGAAGCCCCTCTTAAGTTTTACCTCCACCCTAGGGAGCCCCCTGCCAGAGATGCTCACACAGCCTTGGGCAGTTCCCTGAACTGCCAGGGCTGCTGGCACAGCTGCTGACCTCAGGGCTCACGTCTTAACAATGTGAGGTGCTTGCACAGCTCCCTGCTCCAGGCAGGCTCTCCACGAGCATTTAATGAGCGAAGCCAGCTGACGGCCAGCTGCACCCCCCCCTACAGCATCCTGGTGCTCAGACGTTCCACAAGGAATAAGGAGCCTGGCACACTGACATCACCCTATTACAGAGGCTCTTTGAAGACTCACCCTCGAAGCCCAGCAGGGTCAGACAGCTCTAGAAATGGCCACCAGAGTATGTGTGTTACTTCGTACACAGTCCTCCAACTCAGACCTTCTCATGAACACTAAGCTCTGAGAATCCCTGGGCTGCACCATGGAAAGAACTGGCAGAGGTCTGGGTGCTCCAAGATGACGTTCCCTGAAGCTTGCCTCACATCCCAGACATGAACGGGGGCGTGCAGAATCCCAAAGGCCGCCTGCTCTTTACCACCGGGCTGCAGACACAATACACCTCACCAAGTGTGCTGCTGTTCTCAGGATTTTTGGTTGAATTTTCCAGGAGGGGATCTGGTTTTACACTAAGTTAAATGCTTATGTGATTTAACTAATCAACACTGTGAGTACCACCAATACCTATGCCAAATAAATCCAAGAGAGAAATTTCAATGGCCCTTAGACAAGTACAGTTGAAAGGAAAATCAAGCTGCCCGAAAACACTGGGCATTCTTAAGCCTCCCTCCCACAACTCTGCATGTGCTAAGACATATACAGAGCTACACAGCACAAGGCCAGATAAGCCTGCCTAATTATCTTCCAAAGCCCTTCTACCCAAATGACTTCTTGCAAAAACCACAGCCAATTTACTGATATTTCTATGTGATCTTAATCTCACAAATTTCACTCCTGGAAGAGAGTCCTGGCACGGAAGGGGTCTTGGAGATTAGAAGACTGGTGAGCAATCCTTTCTGCATTAAGAGCCAACACAGAAAGATAAACGTGTGTCTAAGAACAAGAATAGCTTTATTGAGCTCTGTGGAAAAGTAGGCACATTCTTAATAAACCAGCTGTATTATTAACACTAGAATGTTCAGAAGACACCCTGTGTTTCTGCACAAGCGTCACTAACTGAGCATCACCAGCTGAGTGTATTTGAAGCAGCAACAAGCAGATGGCCTCCACCTGTCCATGCCAGGTCAGTGCCATGCCCACTCCTTCACTGGGCCGCGCCAGACAGTCTCCACGGACATGCCTCTCTGGGGTTCTCCCAGGCAGTTCAGTGGTTTTCAGGACTATTTGTGCCTCATAATTACAGCATTTCTCTCAGCCCACAGCTGAATGTTTATGTTAACTGCCTACTCAACACCCTTATCAGACACCTCACAAGTGCTTCAGACACCTGAGCCCTGAGCTGAATCCTTGGGCTCTCCCCATGCTCCCACCCCTGCAGCCCTGCCACTGGAAGTGGCAGTGCCTCCTTCCAGAGACAGCTTGGACCTTGTCTTCTTGTAGAACCCACATCTCACCCTACTCCACTGGCCCTTCTCCCAACTCCTGCTCTGAAGGCCGGGTACCCTGCCCACATGAGACAGAGCCCTTGCCCTGCCTTCCCAGACACATCCCTCCTCTGCCTGAAACTCTCCTGCCTCACTGCCAGAGTTCAAGCAACTGCCTGAGGTGCAGCACAGGGCCTGCCCTGCCTCATGTCCCACTGCTCCCCAACCCCTTCTCCACTCACTCAGGGCCTGTGGATAACCACCAGGCTCACCTGGCTTCCTCAGGCCTGTGGTCTTGGGCGGCACTGGCTCAGAGGCCCTCCCTGACTAGATCCACCAGAACTGCTGACCTAGCCGGGACTCCTGTTTCTCTGCGATGTCCCATGATGGAAGAACTTTGTGCCCTGCTATTTCTGGCATAGCATGACCATGATGCCCATTTGTTCAAAGAATGTCATGTGTGAAAGAGAGGTGTGAGGCTTCTCAGCAGAAGCAAAGGC